GCTAGGTGCATAACGCGGTGATGTGCGTCAGGCTTTTGGGGCTTCCCGCCGGCTTCCCAAGCCTGTTGAGCGTATCTCCTAATCTCCTGAGTTGTCAGTTTTTTCATCCGACAATACATTGAGACTTCGGAGCGAACACACTCGTGCAGGTTGTGAATGAAAAGGGATCTGAAGGCAGGGTCTTCCTCGAGCCCAGGGCCATTTCGACCTTGGAAATAAGCACTTTTGAGTCTGCAATAATACTCTCTGGGGGGTTCGTTCCTCCCGTGTTTGATGGAGAAGGCCCCCATTGTAGCTGACGCAGAGTCTGCATACGTGGCGTATTCATCTCTCAACGCTCGGCAGAGCGAGGAGTACCGATCACGAATGTCAGGTGGTAGAGTTTCCATGAAACCGTGCACCGTTCTAGATGTGGTTTTCCAAATTAGCTTGAGCTTTTCCCTTGAAGAGGGTGCTGGAAGATCAAGCAGACAACGTTCTATCTCCCTGAGATAATCGTCGACGTTGGATTCATTGGTGTTAGGATCAAAGCGTTCTATGTCTTTAGCTAGCGATTCAATTTGACGTACACGGAGCCCTGACTCACGGTACGGCGCGTCATCCTCTGACTCTGACCCACGGTCTGTCTCAGAAGGCGCTGGATATCGCTGGTGTGCTCTGGGCTCCCAATGTTGACTCCTGGGGCCCAAATCGGGGTTCGGCATGTTGTGGCGGGCTGCTGGCACGTCACGTGGGTGTCTTGGGAGGTCCTCCTCCCGGGGCACGTCTGCGTAGTGCAGCCTGCGTCTTTCAACTGGGGCTTCTGCGTAATACGCTCTGTCCGGGTACGGACTGGCGTATGATGCTTGGTCATGCAGCTGGTTATCGGCATGCCGAATACCGGAGTAGCTAGGATGGGTGGATGGTTGAGGTGCAGCTTGGGGTGCATAACCCCAATCGGCACCTTGCACCCTTCGTGGACTGGGGGAGCGGTCTAAATAGAGGTGCCGCTCAGCTGGTCGACTTCTCACAGATTGAGAAGGCCGTGAAGATGAGGGTCCAACCTGGGATTCGAGGGTGAACTGCTCTCGGCCCCTAGGTGGTCCTGAATGCCCTATAGTGTGTGTAGGGAACGGGGCCGAAGGTTGGAACAGATGAGCTTCATCTCTCCCCTGCGGCGTGCGTCCGTCCAGAGAGTCACGGTGTTTCCCCCCTTCCCACTGTCTGTTGTCATCAGCAGAAGGGGGCGGGGTCTTCTCCTCATCTTCCCCAGAATCGATGCTGGTGTTGTCTTCCTCGATCAGCCTTCCATTTCGCTGTTTTTCAGCTAGCATACTCTGGAGGTTCATGATCTTCTGACCACGTTGGAGTCCTCTCTGATAGAGGATCAGGGCTAACTTAGCTAAGTGAACCTGGATTGGTTTTGTACCATCCGGGTTTTCTATTTGATCGATTACAGCTTCTAGCTCGACGCTACGCTGTTCTTCAGTGAAATCCCTAGAAGGGTAGTCGGGTTCTCGAGCAACCGCGACCAGTTTGGACAATATTTGTCCAGAAAGTAGGCCAGGTTCATAGTCGTGGGCCGCAGCGCCACCTGGTTGCTGGGAGTTGGTCAGTTCACTACTCTGTCCCTCCATTTTTAACAACCGAACCAAAATAGCCTAGTAGAGCTTCTGCAGATAGCTCAAGCTGCACCTTTTGGGCAGCAACTGCTAGCTTTGTAGCAGAAAAACACTAAATTAACCTTTGTGCGCACAGGTTTTAGCGTTTTAAGATTGCACGGAATGCCGTGACTGACGCTTAAAATACTATTCCTTTCAGTATTTTAGCAAAAGCTGGTGCGTTGCCGTAGCAACGTCTTACAACACTTGCAGTGTTAAATATGCTAGTTATTCCTTCAGAATATTAGCAAACAGGGTGTTATCAGTCTTTGAGTGAAGGTTTCAGTTAGTTACAATAGCCACTGTGAGTTAAAGTCGCTAAATTAGCAGTTAATTTTAGCCTAAAAGGGTTAGTCAGAATTACTTACACGCTGCACCTTTAATGAGGAACTGAATTTTAACCTAAAAGGTTAGCCAGAATTAATTACACGTTGCACCTTTAAGGAAAAACTGAATTTTAACCTAAAAGGTTAGCCAGAATTAATTACACGTTGCACCTTTAAGGAAAAGCTGAATTTTAACCTAAAAGGTTAGCCAGAATTAATTACACGTTGCACCTTTAAGGAAAAACTGAATTTTTAACCTAAAAGGTCAACCAGAATTAATTTACACGTTGCACCTTTAAAGAAGCACTGAGTTACTGGTGAGAGTTCGATGCAGCTTCCTGCTCAGCGAAATCAGCACCACTCTGTTGCTGGTTCAAGGCTGAACAACGGATTATTTTAATTCAAGCTCTTTGGATTTATTTGTTTGTTTGTGCCGGATAGAAATCTCTGTGTATCCAAGCCTCACGCGGGCTGCACCAATAAAATGTTGGGGTTATTAGGAGCGAACAATTAGTAAGCTTCAACTTACTTTTGGATTCTTCAATAAATTCTGTAAATATGGGAATATTTACTGATTTATTAATTAATTAAGATATTCTTAGATATACGGGGCACCATTCCCCTTTTTCCGGGGAAAAATTGAATCCAAAACTCTTATCAGTCTTTCTTGAAGTTCGTAGAATCCTTGGAGCAGAGACTTCTCTTCGACACAACAAAGCTACTGGAGACGAAAATCTGAATTTTATAACGTTTAATTAACAATTTGTCAATTGAATAAACAGTGGCATAAATGAATAATAACCATGTGATATAATAAAAGGATGTATATTCAAAATAATGTTCAAGGTGTTTTGTGTGTATGTAGGATGTATGAATGGGGTCCTTTGTTCTCACAAAGGAGTAGTGTGTGTGCGTGTGTATGGATTCAAAATGGAGTCTTGAATACAAGATGGCTGACTCCTTTGTCTGGCTAAAGTGTGGGTGGCAACTTGCACTTTAACTTCCAAAGCACTTAGAATCAGTAGTAACTTAACCTTAAATCACTCAAAACATTTCAAAGGATCATGCAACAACACAAAAGATTAATCACGAGTTAATATCCTTAGTTTATCAGCCTGGCCATGGCCGAACATTTAAAGATACCAAACAATGATTAATAAGCAGTTTATTCTTTCAAAATGACCCGACGGACGTGTTTGGGACGAAAGAGGAAAACACGAAGCTACTTTTTAAGCAATAGACGCGGTTTATTGCTTATTTGAGACTATAGAGGAAACGGGAGAAGAAAAGGAGAGAAAAAAATGAGTTTCCTGATCACCAAAGCAGCAAGGCGTCCCCCGCTGTTATGACTTGACGGTTCTCCGTTTTTCTCCGCAGTTTCCGGCGTCATCCGTCGGTTTGATGCTTTCTCCGTTGTTTGGCGTTCACGAGTGTTTCTCCACGGGCTGGACAGAGACAGCAAAGTTTCTTTCTGTGCTGAGTTATAACTTACAGCGTTTCTGAGAGCTGGATGGAGTTGTTGTTTCCCTCCGCAGTTCTGTGTCCTCAAACATCAGCTGGAGGGGAGCAGAAACGAGCAGATCAGCGGTCCCGTGGGCTCAACTTGGCTCTTAGAGCTTCCGCGTGCTCAAAGAAGTCGGAGCGTTCGACAAGCGTGTCCTCACCGCCAGATATCCTGGGCAAAAGAACGAGGTTTCTTTGTCTCTGCTGAAGATTTATGGTCTTAGTTCGCGGGGAAAGCTCCACGGCTTCCCGCACATGCGCAGAACGTGTTTCTGGTACTAGGCGGTGACATCATCCCAATGCTTCCGTGTGCAAAGCATCATGGGAAATGAAGTTTCTTGGCGCTGATGTGATTATTTGCTTTTCAGAGCAATTTAAGCACAGTCATTTTGGAGAAAATCACTGCATAGTAATTTCCTCATGAGGTCAGACCCTCAACACTGCATCAGTCCAAGCAAGGCAACTTCTTTCTGTTTTTATTCAGTTTTAGTAGCCATTAGCACTCTGCATTGTGTGCGTCAGTGATATTCAGTCTACGAGGAAGTCGTGCAATGACAAAGGTTCCGCCGTGCTCGAAATGCAAGCTGCGATTAAATGCGTGAATTTTTTTTAACACGTCATTTTTTTCTAATTAATTTATCATAATTAACGCGTTAAAGTCCCGGCCCTAATATATATATATATATATATATATATATATATATATATATATATATATATATATATATATATATATATATATATGGCTGCGTAGTGGCGCAGTGGTTAGAGCTGTTGCCTTGTAGCAAGAAGGTCCTGGGTTCGCTTCCCGGCCTGGGATCTTTCTGCATGGAGTTTGCATGTTCTCCCTGTGCATGCGTGGGTTCTCTCCGGGTACTCCGGCTTCCTCCCACAGTCCAAAGACGTGACTGTTAGGTTTACTGGTCTGTCCAAATTGTCCTTAGATGTGAATGTGTGCATGATTGTTTGTCCTGTGTGTCTCTGTGTTGCCCTGCGATGGACTGGCTCTCTGTCCAGGGTGTACCCCGCCTGACTGCCCGTTGACCACCGGAGATAGGCACCGGCACCCTACCCCCCACCCCCCCGCGACCCCACGTGGACACAGCCGGCTCTGAAGATGGATATATATATATATATATATATATATATATATATATATATATACATACATACATGTGTGTGTGTATGTTTATATATATATGACATATGTATACATCCATCTATCCATATTTAAATATATTCAGCTTAGTTCATTTTATGGGGATTTTTGTATTGCATAATCATAACACAGCGTACCAGTTACTTGAAGAAATTTGTATTTTTAAAATAAGTTTTGATCATTAAATGTTCTTTGCAATCTATACTTTTTAGAAGTATTTGTTCGTTAATGACAAAAATGCATGTATTCAGTGTGTATTAGGTGGAACTGCCACATGGGGGTGGGGGGATTATATTTCCTGTGATTTTAGGGGGGGATAATTGAGAAACATTGCATTAATCAATGTTTTATTTCGCTTTTTATCATGTCCAGAACCTCCACAGCATCATGTCTGGGAAAGGGATAAGGTTCTGATAGACCAGTAGCTGTCTAACCGGGAGACCACCTCAATTTTGGACCAGATGGAACCAGAACCTCCACTGATGAAAGAGGAACAGCAGGAACTCTGTATCCGTCAGCATAAAGGGTCATTCATTCTGAAGCAGGAAAATGTTACCTTCATGGTGATTTCTCCTGAAGAAACAGACAGCTCTGAACCAGAACCAAACAGTAATCAACCCTTGTGTCAGAATTCTACTAAATCTGAGAACCAAGATCAGGATGGATACAGGAATGAAAACTCAGAACCAAACAGCAATGAAGAATTGACACAAAGTAAAAATGTCAACAAACCAAAAATCACAAAGACAATGTAGACAGTCAGAAACCACAGAAGCACAAGAAGGCTCACAGAGATGCACCGTTTACATGTAAAATCTGTGGGAAATCTTGGAGTCGCAATTGGTTTTTAACTCTTCACGTGAGAACTCATACAGGTGAGAAACCATATTCATGTAACACTTGTGGTAAATGTTTCACTCAAAGGTATCACTTGACTGTACACAAGAAAACTCATCACATGTGAGAAGTCATTTCCGTGTTTGGTCTGTAGAACGAGTTTCAGACAAACATTTTCTTTAACTTCTCCTGAAAATTCACACTTGAGATGTAATTCATTAAATGTGTTTGTTAAAGATTGAATATGGAACATGGGCACTATAGTGACATCCAATAGGTAGAATTTGCAGCTCCAACAACAGAATATATTTTTTAGCAGTCTGGGTGTTTGCCGATACCTAAAGTGACCAACCAGTCCTCACGTGGCAGAAGATCCTGCTGGCCTGCTCCTTGTCTGAATATCTTCCTGAGGAACTTCTTCTGTGGGTCAGTGAACCCTCTGATCTCTGTCGCCATGCCAACACACTCAGGAGGGATCTGGCTGCTGCAGATCTTATGGTGATCCAGGTCTAGACCACACGTAGCCGGGTTTTTTTTAAAGACGAATATCCGCCCCTCCAAAAACTTGCATCCACACCACCTCGTTTAAAAAAAAACTGTCCACACGTACCCGGATAAATACGTTGTTAAGGACATGCCAGACCTGTAGGTGGCAGTACTTCCCCCGAATTGTCCTGAGGGCATCCATGCTGTCGGCTAGTGTAAACACAGGTCGCACACGTGATGTCAGCATTTTTTTGTCACGGAAAGTGACGTTGCGGACCTTAAAACTCCGGTTTTGTCCGTCCACACGCAGACACCCAAAACGGAGAAAACGCAGATCTTCACTTTGGCCAGAGTTTTTAGAAAGATCCGTTTTCGTGTGAAAAAACTCCCGTTTTCGTGTGGATGACAGGCCAAAACGTAGAAAAATATCTACGTTTTGGCAGATCCCCGGCTACGTGTGGACAGGGCCCCAGAGGAAAGCAGAGAGAAGCAGGTTCCCCCTGATGAGGTATATCAGCAGAACATCCATTGAGGGGGAACTCTGTAACATCAGCCAGGATTTTCTTGTTGTGGAAGTGCAAAGGAAGTTGACGCTCATCCAGACCATCTCAGATGAACACAGCCTGGAACTCTTCAAAGCTCCAGGTTTCTTTGGTGTCACTGAAGAAGTGAACAACAACAGGGATGAACCATTTTAGAAGAGTCAATCGTCGTAGTGGAAATTGTGATTTCAATTTGATTCATGGTTTCCTCTGAGTCAAGCTTCAGAACAATGTAATAATAATAATAATAATAATAATGCATTGAACTTATATAGCGCTTTTCAAGACAACCAAAGACGCTTTCACACACTCTCACATTCACACACTGCTAGTGATGGTAAGCTACTTGTAGCCACAGCCGCCCTGGGGAGGTCTGACAGAGGCGAGGCTGCCATTTGGCGCCGTCGGCCCCTCTGACCACCACTAACGCAGGCAAGTTGGGTGAAGTGTCTTGCCCAAGGACACAACAGCAGGATACTCCTGGCGGGAGCTGGAATCGAACCCATGACCCTCCGATCATGAGGCAACCCGCTCTACCACCTGAGCTACTGCTGCCCCTAATGTTTACAAACATCACAGGAAATGACATCACAACATTAAAAGCTGTGACTCTGATGATGCAAGGATGAAAACTACAAGTAAGAATTATTTTTATGTGTTTATTAACGAGAAGCAGGCATACAGAGTTTTCCCTGCCGTGTTTCACTGAGGCGGGTTAAAAACACCAAACACACTTTACACACATTGTTGACATTTCTGTGTTTGCAGATTAAGAAAATGCTAAAAATAAAAAAAACAGTCTGTATTTAGTAAAAGTTAAGAGTTACGGAGCAAAAAGGGACGTCTGTGATTAGATTAGTGTCACAAAAAAATAAAAAAACAGCATTTTAACACACCACCTTGTCGTTCATGGCTTCAGTCTGCATGTTGAAGCATGAGACCCGTAGATTAAAGCAGATTACCGGCAGATTAAAGTTAACTTCTTAGAATGATTATTTTTAAACAAACAAGTCTCCAAAGGGCTCTGTTTTCTTGAAACGTCCACATCAGCATCACAAAAAGCAAAGTGAAACCGCAATGAAGTTAGCTCCAGGTTGTCAACATGAGTGAGTGGTTTCTTGAAACATGTACATCTGTGGTTGACGATTCAGGTGTGGGTGAAGATGATTAGCCATCACAGCTGCAGTAAGTTTATCTACAGTTCAAATATATTTCTAGCTTTAGTTCTGTATTTTTTATTTTTTACAGTTTTCATTTCTAGTATTTACCACTTGAGTATGTTTTATAAAATCTGATGTATTTATAACTTTAGAGATTCTTCTGATGAAGAGCCATCCATCATCACCAGCAATAGACAATGTCAGAGACAGGATGCTGCTGGAGATGCTCCACATCTTCTGGACTCCTGGACAACAAAGTCAGTCCCGGTGCCGCTGACCCACGACACCCAGATTTATCTCCAGAAGAACCCTGGCTATCGGCTCCCTCTCACCACCAGCTCCACAAACAAACCAACAAGTAGCAGACGAAGGCCATGAGACATCAACCATTTCAGGAGCAGCAGTGTGCACAGCTGCTTGGTGAGGATTATTCCAGTTATAACATACTGTTTTGGTTTAAAATCCCAATTCTAAACCACACACCAGCTTTAAATGTTAATAGCCCAATAAAACCAGAATTATACTTAAAATAATTAAATCTCAGACCATCAGAAAGATTGTGATCTTGACCAATGTCTTGATACAGGAATCTTTAATCAATTATTGTCATATTATTATGGTATGTGTGATGTGAACACACCTCCCAGGGCGGAGGTCTGCACTCTGACTGCTTTCTAGTTTTTATTAGTTAGTTATATTTCTTGAGTGAGTGTTTAATTTTAATACTGTACCATGTTTTGCTTGCAATTTGTGACAATTCATGGCGTGTTTATAGATCATCAATTGCAGTTTGTCAAAATAGGGGGGCCCAGAACATTATCTTGCATAGGGCCCCCACAATGCTAGAAACGGCCCTGGTTTCACGTAATGGGCCCGATACACAGGAGGCGACAAACGACCGCGATCAGCGAAATTCTTTGCTGTCGCTTTTATTACCTGACACACGGGAGGCGACCCGCGGAAGCAGCCAGCGGCAAAGCCGTCTACGCGTTCTGTTCCGTGGCGAAATCGAATCTTCCGTTGTTTTGACTGGCTGTGTCAGGTTGGAGGGAATTAAGGTTATTTAAGCGGTTCAGAGTTTAAAAAGCGGTAGATGTGATGTGAATATCTCTATATTCTTTGGCAGAAATATTGTACAGTTCTGGGAAATCCGTCACAGCAAGTATCCACTTCTCCTTCATGTTTGCTCGGAGGTGTGCGGAGCATCCTGCCCGCTCATTGGTCAGTGAATGAAACCTCCGTTGATTGGTCCTCGTCCGAGCGACAGTGATGAAAAGTTGAAAATATTTCAAATTTCTGGGATTGCGTCGCTGGTTCGCCTGTGCACGACACGTGCACAAGCGCAAAATTTTTCGCGTTTCGCTTAGTATGAGGGAGACCCGCGATTATCGCTTTGTCGCGCATGTCTCATTGAAAATGAATGGAGAGGTGATGTCGCCTCCCGTGGATCGAGCCCATAAGGCCTGATGAGGTCGCTAGATGGCGACGCTCTTATTTTCTCCACTCTGAGCCCTGAGAGGCAAAGAAAAAAGAACGATGCTCCACATGGAATATGTTCTAATAAATAACTGAATATAACAACATTATACATATAATACATTATTCTAACACAATGGCCACACCTTCATCTAAAAGACAGGACACTTGAGGAAAAAGACGTTTGTATTTTGGACAGAGAAGACAATTGGTCTGACAGAAGCTTCTGGGTGCTTTGCATGCAGTTCAAGGATGCTTCTGGGTCATGTGACCGCTGCTCTCCTTTGTTTACAAGCTAGTCTGGAGTTCAGACACATCGGGAATGTTTAGTGACTGGAATTCAGAGCTGCTGCGGAGCCGTCTCTCCTCTGGACTGGTTCTCATGGCTTTACTTCATTCTGTGGAGAAAATTCCACAAGAGTCTTCAGTCAAGTAGGAACATTGGAACCATCGTCTCTCTGATCAGTAGCTGTTCATTCACAAACCTCACCTCCTTCTAGAGGAGACAACAAGCTAAAAGCACATTTGCTCTTATGAACTGGACACATAACATCTGAAGCTACAAGTTGGACTGCAGGAGATTTGGACTCTTCCACCACTGCTCTCTCTCTGTTTCCATAGCAACTAAGTGTAGATTTCTTTTTCATTGGCTAAAATTAAACAGAACCTCATTGAGATGTGAAACTATAAATGAAGTGATTTGAATTATTGGTTCAGCAAATAATTTCCCTACATCTAAAGACAACAACGTTCAGCAAGAAAGGAGGCCGAATCTGGCACTAGGTCACTGAGCCCACCAGAGCCCACACAACAATAAGCCTTAAAGAGCAAGTCACCCCCAAATCAGCTTTTTTTTCCTGATAAACTATATACATGCGTGTCTAATCGTGCTGCAGACACGTGTAGTCAATAGTTTAGCACTTTAGTGCATTTTAGTTAAAATTTAATTTTTCTGCCTAAAACTGTCAATGTTGTCAGGTAAAAACTCTGCACTGCAGTTGAATTTAAATCTGCCACCGCTATTGGCTAAGAGGTATGCTATGATGTAAACTGGTACATTATGATGTCACAATGCCGTTGTGAGCCTGTGTGTGTGTATTTGTTAGTGGCTCCGCCCTCTCGGTCTGCTAGGCAACATCATTTGTTGCATTTGAAGAGGGAGTGAAGTAAGTTTCTTGTAGGGAGTGACTTGCCCTTTAAATGCTGTTGTAGGCCGCTTTCGTTGGAGCGGCTGTGGGCAGATATTTGCTACAAGAAACCTTTTCGTTTCGGGATATATTCAGGCTTTGTGGTGTAGCGAGTTATATTTATCTTGTTTAATTGGAGCATAGAACATAGCAGTAAAAAATGTGAACTAGTAGCAGCCGTAATTCATGTGGGTCAGGTTAGTTTGCGATAAAGTTAAAAAACAAAAACAGAAGCAGTCAGCGGGCTAGGCTGAGTTTGCGTGAATGGGCGGGGCTGACTGGTGCAGCTCCGCCTTTGTAGTTCTGCAACAGCACCCTCTCCCGGTTTGTTATACTTAGGTCAGCAGCGCCCTCTGCTGGACGACCATACAAATTACACACAAGCTACGACTCGGGTATCTGACTGAGACAAGTGGTGCAAAATAGGGCCGTGTAAAAAAAGAATGTGTAGCTTGAAAAGCAGCACATCAGCAGTTTTGTACTGTTGCGTTCACTCATTTGTGTTTGTGGTAAGGAAAAAAAATGACAAAACCATACGTTTGTGGGAAGATGTTAATACAAGTGTTTGAATAACTTATTCTCTAGATTTGCTGGACTAAGTGGAGCAAATTTATTAGAGCAGGAATTCCATATTCAGTAACTTGCAGTAACACATTTGTGTACCTGCAATGAAGAATTTGTGAAGCGTAACAGTAGTTTGTGTTTGTAAGTATGTGGATATGTTTTGCACCACATATTTTGGATCAACTGGGGCAAAATTGTAGCTGTAAGATTTTTTAAGGTGTGACTCAAAGAATGCATTTTGTGTACTCGTACCTAACATTTTGAATAGTTGTAGCTGTTGTTTTGTACCTGTGACAGATGGGATTTTTCTGAAATTTTCTCTGTGACTTCAAGTTCCCAGTGACAAAACACAAATCTTATTGCACCAAATATACCTCCATAATTAAGTGCCTGACTAATGTCGACTGTAGCACTATCCGTTTTCAGTCAGAGCTGTGGCATCACTGGTATAGTCGTCCGCTTTGAATTATTTGTATTTGTTTAGTATCTTTTTTTCTCCTTCTCTTATTTATTGCTATCGTTGTTATAGCGTATTTTGGATCCTGAGTCTGTTAATAAAGTTGATTGAATTGACTTGAATAAAAATCTGAACCAGTATTTTTAGACATTTTATAATTTTACAATATTTAATTATTTATGTCTTGATAAATTACATTTCATCAAAACAGTTTTCTTTTTTTACAAATGTTTTATCTGCTTGGTCAAAGAAATTAGGAGTTATGTTATTTTTGTTTATATATTTATTTTATATTAACCAACCAAAAGGTCTAATACAACAATTTGTCCAGTAACAATCCAGACAGACAGAGGTCAACTAGATTTCACATTTGTCACCTAACTAATTCCATAATTAATAAAAACAAAAAATACACGAAAGTCCGAACTAAAACATGAACAAGACCCACAGGACATCAAAAAGCATTCATATTCTTCAATTTCCTCATTGATCATTTTAATCTAACACACACAGGTGGTATGTCTGGTTACTACCACTTATGTGCATTTAACCATTTTTACTTGAGTTCTTCGTAAAACTTTGAAGCGATGCTATCTTACTTTGACACATTTTTGGCTATCCACCTCTGGTAGTTACAGGGTAATCATTACTTCCAAACACTGATATTGTGACAGGCTACTCCATTAAAATGCTTGTTATACGTGCAGTCATTCTGAATCTTTGAAAAATTGGGCAGAATTACGTTTGTTTTACTTTGCGTTTTGTGAATCAAGTCTAGCACCCTCTGCTGTCCGTACGGAAAATAGCACAGGCACATGACTAATCTAGGTGGATTAGTGCAGTGTTTCTCAACCCTTGTCCTCAGCGCCCTCCTGTCCTGCATGTTTTCCATGTCTCTGCTACAGCACACCCGGTTCACATATTTGCATTGCCTCATGACAGCAAGCGCTGCAGAAGCCTGTTAATCACTCATTCAAGTCAGGAGTGTGGCAGCCGAGAAACAATGCTGTTGGAAATGGCAGGACAGGGGGGCGCTGAGGACCAGGGGATTAGTGTGTGGCTAGGACCGCCCCCGTCTCAGGGATTTCAAAAGATTTTTTCTTTACTTTTTCTCAATTCTAAACAAAAGTGAAATAACAAAAATATAGGAGTACATGATTAGTGACTAGAATATTATAAAGTAAAGTTTCATAATGTATTTTTTTTATTTCATTCATTTGTCATGCATGAATTTAGTTAACAATTATTTTAAAATAAAAACAGAACATAAAGTCACATAAAATAACTGAATGAGTTTAACTCATTAAGCACATTATTAATTGTTCTATTTTGACAGATATGTCACATCAAAGACATTTTTCAATTAGGGATTTAATGTGACACATTTGTCTAAATTAGTATTTGTCAAATTGTTTCAGAAATACTGTCAGAGTTAAATGTGACATATGACATGTTATCTAACAGTTAGAGTTGCTGAATGAGGAAGAACCACCGTTGCAGAGATGAGGAAGTTTATGAAGTTAGCTGCCCAGGTCAACCAAGACTTTAAAAATGGTCCCCACATGTTTCCTCCTAGTCTTGTTTTACAGTAATGTAGTTTTTTTTTAAATGTGGTCAATTCTACTGAACATTTAAAGGATTTCTCGCACATTTGTTTTTACATATGTAGTGTACATCCTTTTATTCTTTATTTATTTGGGAAATCAGTTGTGACACCAACATCTCTCCACTTAGGACAATAAAGAGATTTTATATGCTTCTCTAATCTATTTTATTCTTTTCTGTTAAAATAAATACTTCTTTAGGACACGAGAAGAATTCCTCAGTAAATTGAACAAGCACAGGTGGAAAGCTGTTTACCGAACAAATGCATTAAACAGATAAAATAAACATTTCCTGGTTATTTTTTCTGCAGAACACAGACTCATCCAGGGATCTCTACAGTAAGTTGGCTTCACACGAGCCAGGCTGCAGGATCTCTAAAGTGACAATAAGTTTTACAGATTTTCTGAACCAGGGGTAAAACAGGGCATAAATTAGAGGGTTTAAACAGGAGTTAAAGTAAAAAAGAAAAACAAAAAAGGAAGAAGGAGATTTGCTGGTGAAATGAACGTCAATAAGAGAATAACAATAAAAAGGGCAAAAGCATAACAGATATACAACAACGAGGACACCCAGAGTCCTGGCTGCTTTTAATTCTGACTTCTTTGTTTCTGGATTAACTGCCTGATGGCGTGCGACCGCTGTAATCTGAGAGCGCATGGCCCGAGCCTGAGAAACAGCCACCGCAAATACTCTCATGTACAGAAATACGATGACTGTCACTGGAGCTACGAAGTTCAAAATGAGATCCACAGTTCCTGCAACCACGTCCATGACAAAGGCACACTCTCCTACGCAGGAGCTGCTTCTGCCTGGTTGGATAAACTCATCCTTCAGATAACAGACCCTGTAGACACCGGCGCATATCCAGCACGCACCCACACAGCTTTTGACTCTGGCCAGAGTGACTCTGTTCAGGTAGTAAAGCGGGTGACAAATAGACACATACCGGTCCACAGAAATGAGCACAATGTTTCCGATTGAAGCAGAAACAATGTGGGCAATAAGATAACCGTAGAATAAACACATTATCTTCCCCCAACAGGTGATCTTTTTATATATTTCTAACGGCATCAGCAGGAGACCCACAAGAAAGTCTGAGACAGCCAGAGAGAGGAGGAGGACGTTAGTGGGTGTGTGGAGCTTCCTTCAGGGAGACGAGGAAAAAGCAAAACAACACATTACTTTACTTTTAGATTGTTTAAGAATCACATTTCTTAAGGTTTAGAGGTGTCATTGCCTGAAATGGGAGACCGAGATGATGATACAAAGGTTTAGAGCAGCAGTGATCAGAGAGACCAAGGACAGCACCGTGTTGAGGAGCACAGCTTCAGACCAGTGGAGTGTTGGCTTCATGCAGGAGGTGTTGAGAAGCTCTGGGAAACAGAGCTCTTGCTTTTTATCCACCTCCATCATCAGACAGGCTCAGGTGTGACCAGAACTCTTAACAGCCGATTTTAATTTATCTCACATCAGCGTTTTCGTCAGCGATGACGATGATGAAATTATTTTGTTGACGCCCCTTTTTCTTGTAACGAAAACGAGATGCTGATGAGCTAAAAGTAGCTCTGTGGTGACTAAGACTAGGTTCACAACTCAAAGCTGAATTCTGATTTTTGTGTCTGTTTATACTTTACTTAAATAAAACATCAAACTCTCCAGTGTGAATGGTTCACGACCCCACGCCGACGGCATCTTGAGTTTAAACAAACAGAACATTGCAGCGAAACAGAGTTGGCAGAAAGAAAGAGGACGACAACATGTTAAAATGCTGAAAAGAATGTGTAATATACACTGTAGCCCCGAATAAGTTCACTGAACTCAAAATTTATGAGGAAACTGATTACCTAATAATTTTTAAGTTAACTTGTCTAAAAACTATAAGTTTACCATAACTTAAAAAAATGACCTGAATAAAATCAAAGCATTTAACTACCTCCAACCTTTAACTTGGTACTTAAGCAACTTACAAAGTTCAATTTAACTAAACTTGCATGTTTTATTTTATTTGAACTTTATTTCGTTTTTACTAACTTAAATATTATAACTTATATGAAATCTAAATGGACCTATTAAACCCTAACCCAAATAAGTTGAATTTACTTAAAAATGACAATGTGGCAGACTGGTGAAGGCAGTAACTAGCACCAGATCGTGACTCACACACCCATAAATGCTAACAGCCAATGAAAGTGGAACACTCAAAGTCAAGTCAAGAGCATCTGGTGTGAACAACCACAGTATTATTAACAATGGGACGGCACAGCCGTACAGCATTACTTTGACCAACCTCCTCACTTATGGTGCCAACATGATACAAAACGTAACACCACATATGCAACACTGAATGAAATAATAACTGAGAACAACAATCATACACAATAAACATGCATAAGCACCACCCCAAAATAGAGCAAAATAACTGAAAACATGACCACCCACAATGCACCTCCCCCACCAGTTGTTTATTGTTCCTGAAATCCAACAACATTGCTAGTTTGTGGTTGTTTTTCTTGTAAATTCACAAATATTTAAAATAATATACAAGTCTGTTTATCAGACACACTTTAGGGTTGACGTAAAGATGAATGGAATAATATAGAAACAAAATAATAAATCAATCATTTTTATTACTCATTAAAGTTAACTTGTCTTTATTGATTAATTTAAGTTAAGCTTACTTAAAAAAGAAATAGTTCAGTTTAATTAAAACATTTGAGTTCTACTTAAAACAAGGAAAAGGTTGAACAAGCTCAACACATTTGAATTCTAAAAACATTTATTTAAATTATGAGTTTTATCTACTCAATATATTTGATTATTTTGAATGTTTGGGTTTACAGTGACGGGAGCACATTCAACGGGGAACCGCATTATGCCGACAAACGGTTTGGACCCATATGATCCAACAACGACTGGAGCACCAGCAACAACATGTTGCCGTGGCAGTTCTGCATAACTGATATTTTCGGATATCATGTTTGTGGTGTGAGCGCTCACTCTTCAGAACTGTCCTGGAGCTACAAGTCGTTGGGGTCTTGTGTGAAGTTTTCAAACGATTGGGTTCGGGAGCTGGAGATCATGAAACCTGCTAACAGAACAGCAGTCCAAACAAAGGTAAGCTCCAAGTGTCCAGATGTTATACACCACTGTTTTGTATATAAATGTGTATAAAGACAACTTTGAACTGTAGCACATGCATTTATCCTGACTAGCAATGATTTCCATGTTATTATTGCTGCTTTTTTCAGTTTTAAGAAAATGAACAGATGCTTAATGTACGTACGTTAATTCATGTCTCCTCAGGTCTTGCACTCCCAGTGCATCAGAGACTCCTCTGGAGCCATGGGTGATCATTGCTAACAGTGGCCAGGTGTGCTGTGCACACTGTACGTGCATGGCTGGCACTGCAGAGTCATGTTTTCATGGTTAGGGCTCTGATGTTTAGGACTGAGACAGCAGTCTGCATCTGCAGAATAAAGACAGTGATGTGTCTGCCTATTGTTAAATCCCATCTGAGACTAACAATGTCTATGGTAAGGTTGACCATAAGATGGACTTTAGTTATGCGAAAGCGCAGCAGGACGACTTGTTTCTGCTCCCTATTCTCCACAAATAAGTCTGTATGTCAACCATGGACACATACTATCATGACTCGGCTGACTCTCACCTGGCAGCTGTGATGCCAAAACCCCTGCAAGACCATCTGGTGCACCCCCAGGTTCTTAACAACAGTGACTGTAAAACCCAGGGGTTCCACCTTAACGATGTTGGACTTGATGCAACCACAGCAGCAGATCACTCCTGGTTCTGTGATGCTTTTTGTGGTCCTGCAGCTGTCCAAAAGAAACATCTACATTTTATAATGACAGAAAAAATTGTACTTCCTCCGTTTTTTTGTGTTTGTTTTTATGTTTATCTTTTCATATTATATTGTCTAAGGAAGATTTTTACATTCTCTGTTGCATTTTGCCTTGAAGCGTCCCAACTGCTCTGTTCTGTGTTCTCGGGATGTTAATAAATGCTGAAAAATTCTGATTGTGACAGTTCTGACATTTGCACATTACACTATTATTGCTTTGACTCTCTAAAGCCCTTTTCAGATTGGCATTCTGGAATATGTGTGGACAATTCAGTCCGGTTTTTAACCAGAACTGTGTTTTCAGACACACCACTTTTGTACCTGAACTTGTCCTTTCGGCTGCCTTCACACAGCAGGGAAAAGTTCCAGTTCCATATTGCGTAAACATAGTGCGGCGGGCGTACATGCGTCATTTACCCAAACAAAGCCATTCAGTCAAACATGGCCGACGAAGAAATAGAATTCCTCTCACTGATCGGACTTCTGTTAAGCATAATTCTGCGCACACGAAGATGCATAAGAGACCTGGATGATGAAGCTCAATGGTTAAAGGAATCACGGAAGCTGTGTGAAGCGCTCCGTCGCGCGTCTAGCAGACGGTATACCGTAGGAGGCGAGCTGCCGTGGTTCGCCGCATGCTACAGAAGCGGGCTATCTAGGTGCTCACAGTGTCCCCCGGTCCCCTCCTCCTCCCCCTCCTCCCTGTCCGGAACTTGGCCTCACCAGTCTGAAGCAGCCACCTTGTCTGTGACAAGTCCGGTCCTGTTACTAGAGGCTTCGTCCGGTTTAATTACGGAAAAGTTTATCCGGATGTTTGTATTCGGACACAAAGGTCTTAAGGACAGAGTCCTGAACATTTTCGTTTTTCATGGCCTGTCTGAAGGGGGCTTATGACACATTTACGCTTATCGTGAAGAATATAAATATGAATGCAAACACTTTTTTTACTGTATTTAATAGACTTTAATTTCATCACAACACTCAAGCTCGTGTTTGTCAAAGGACAACACATGGATCTTATCAAGGAATGTCGTGTCTTCGTCCTAACGTGGTAACACTACGTGTGTCCGTACTTTAGCTGACATAATATTGTGTACTTGTTGCAAACAGTTCTTTCCACATGAATTCAGAGGTTGACCATTTTCCTTGTGTATTCCACTTCTTGTCACTTACTGAGCTGTTTTCACTGGATATGTTTTATGTCAAAGTGAAATCGGTCATGTAGAAAGTTTCATGAAGTGTTTAGACACTGAGACGCTGGGGAAGCTAAAAAGGCTAAAGAATAAAACTAAATATTTCTGTAACTGATGTCATTAACACTTTTAATCCATAAAGTATACCTAACCTATGAATGGAAACCAAACTTTAGGTGTTAATGAAGCAACACTTGATTGAGATTGCCTCAGATGTTTGTGAATCATCAGCTAAATTAAGGTCTAACCACCTGTGTTTGCAGCAGCACTCCAGAGGCTACGCCATTGTGTGACTCTGATGCATGGAGGTGTGAAAAAACAATCGGTCTAAAGGGAACTGATTTTAGGAGCAACTGACAGTCAACAAAACAGAAAACACACCTTAAATCTCTCTGGACGTCTCTGAGCGCTCGTGTTTGATTTTAATGGGGTCACACGTTACACACACATTCATTTAGAGTTGAAACGAACTTTGTGACAAACTGACCCCTGGAGAACTTTTCATGCCTAATTGAGACGATAACTTTAAATCTACAGAAACTAGTACACACCGAGTTCCCTTCAACAGTCTCAAATTAAAAATTAAACCAAAGTTTGTGGATGCCTTGTATAATATCGACCCTCCAAACGTTAGATATTCATCAGTTTTCTAATGAAAATGTTGCACGAGTCAGTTATTTATAAAGATAAAAAACATAACCAGATGTTTTTCGTTTTACATGCTCATTTCCAGTCCCTAACCAACATTTAGCTATAGAATGTTTCCCATCTACTTACAGACGATAGAATGACTTCCCCACTAAAATAAAGAGTCCTCTTTTGCTCATGCTGGAGTTTCTCTGCTAATGAAGTTTCTAATATAAATTAAGTGAATTTGACTTGACACTCAAATCATGAAAGAGGCATTTCCACAAACATATTCAAGTTTGTAAAACTGTGCAAATGCATGATTCAAGCACATTTCCTTGGTTAGGGTTCGAGTCTGCTGAAAGGAATTTGAATAATTGATCATACACCCTCTAAAAGTCGAAGTAAATGTGAACAGGCCGTGCATTCTGCACAAATGTCATTTCCATACACAAGGAGATAATCTGAGTTGGAAACAGGTAAATGAGTTAAAGGCATGCAAAAACACACTGTCCTCTCACCAGAGGCAGTGAGACAGCTGTGGTAGAGCAGTTAAGTGTCTGTTCCGTAACCAGAAGGTTGTGGGATTGAGTCCTGCTCATCCGTTGCAGTCTTTGTGTCCTTGGGCAAGACACTTATCCAACCTCACCTGCAGGTGGTCAGAGGGACTGGTGGGACCAGTGTTTGGCAGCCTGGCTTCAGAGTCTCAGGGCAGCTGTGGCTACATTGTAGCTCATCACCACCAGTGTCTGAATGACTGACTGTGTTGTGAAGCGCCTTGGGGGAACCGGCTAGTCCAGGAAGTTAACTAGATTTTATTAACTAGTGTTTACAAATTTAGACAAAATCAGTCACATGCGCTAACCAGTCATTTAAAGCGACATCCCCTTGGCCAAGTAGCCAGGGCGCATGATCAATTGGGACACTGTGACAAGACGCTCACACTGTCACATCTGATGTGAATCCCGCCCGGGCTCTCGTTTCTCCACCTTGCCAAATGCAGTTTAATGAGTACGGACACACTATTTATGAAAATAAAATGTGTTGTAATTTGCATT